TTTTTCTGGTTCTTAGATGGCAAAACCCCTTGCTGAAAGAGTACTGCTGGGGCAAGGGGAGGGGCATCTGGTGGCAAAGGTCAGGGGGTGGGGCTTCTGGTCCCAAGGGGTTAGGGGGTGGGACTTCTGGTCCCAAGACGGCAACCAGGGGGTAAGGCACCTGTCAAGGGGCAGGACTATACATGAGGCCCTCCACAGCTTGCCAAAACCCAGTAAGTGGCTCTCCACCCAAAATAATTGCCCACCCCTGTCCTAGGCTAATGTCCTACCTTCTGCCCTCCTGGGCTCTGGCATACCCCTACTTCTTACTTTTGTCACATGGAAAAGTCACTGAATGGAAGAAGGTGGGAGATGGAACACACCATCACTTTGAGGAGGGCCTGGTGTGACAGGACACTTCAGGTAGTACATTTTCCTCAGCAAGGTCTAACTCTATTATTTCAATGCTATATAAAACCCGTGTGCTCAGGGTCCAGTCCTGCAGTCCCTCCTCCAGCCAGCTCCTACTGCCTGCTTAATACATTGCAAACAAAATTTATACTTCCTCTCATGGCTAGGAGGAACTTCCTATAAACATCAGCAAAGCTACCCCATTTTCTTTCCCAAATCCCTCCTTTGAAGTCCCCTCAGCCATGATGCCACTGAAAACTTGACAAGAGTTAGGTGGCAGGTGTTTCAAGACCACTGCCTGTCATAATGGCTAATTGCCTCATTGTTGCCTTGTATTTCCTACCTTTGCCTTATTCTTAAGTGTTGAAGCTTTTGAATTAAAAATCATCTGTTTTTTGCCTGCAAGAAAAAATGGGGAGTAACTACTGGCAATAAGTAAGGGCACTATTGCGAAAGGGTAAAAGCACCCAGTGTTTTTTAAATGAAACTGAAGTTGGTTCCGTGTTCCTGGTTTCTAGTTTCTTATTCAGTGACTAAACAGAGGGCACAGATGTTAAAGTTGTGGCAACAAGCTTCCTGCAACAAAGAAGCTTCTTTTTGAAACAGCATTTTTTTTGTCCTAGATTCACCATTTTGTATCTGATCAGCCGTTTTCTCAGAAGAACAAAAAGTGTGAATGTGGAGCTGTCCACTTTTTGTCCCACTAAACTAGCATATAAACCTCATAAGTGTAATGTCTACCATAGCCCTGAGACATCTCTGGACAAAACTTCATAATATATAGTTTCCTCTTTCTATTTTGTATTAGTTCTTGGTAATAATCATACCATGCGTGTAGAAATGAATAACAAAATTAAAACCAATTTACTAGAAATCCAGAAGGACGGCTATTACACAAATTAAATGGATAGTTAGAGATTAAAAAGTCAATAAAGCCCTGGTTTATCTTTAGTCAGGAAAAGTGATTATAACGGTCTTAGAAATAAGAGCATTGGTTAGCAGAGTGCCTTTTGCATATTGCAGAACAAACAATTCTAAAAGAAAGTATATAGAAAATAGTCATGTTTACTTACCATGTACAAGCATACAAGAACTATTTTAACAGCTTATTGTTGTGCATTTTATAAGCACTACAGTAAGATACAAACTGCTTAAAGGGATACCACCCTATTCCCAAAAACTACAATTAGTTGACCCTACGGGTTACTTGCATGACTGAGAGACTCCAACAACAGCAGTGAGACTTGATACAAATTTTTTTTCCAAGGAATTTTAAAACTCTTCATCTTTTGAATTCAACTGTGGAAATATTAGCACTCATTTTCAACAAGCTTATAGAAATATACCAAAGGGTTCCCAGTACTGTGTGCTATGCTAGTAGTTCTATATCTGTAACATGTAATACTTCTGCTCGAGTAATTTCTACTTTTTAATGCATACAAATTTTGATGATCTTTCTTGAATTAACTGGTATTTTAAGTACCATTTTATGTATTAAAAGGTGGCATTCGAGTAACATGGGAAATACTTTCTGGGAAGGCAATGAAGGATTTTCTGTACAAATTTTCTCCTGACCTAGAACCGTTTTTGATTCTGATATTGGAATATAGTGTACAGTGTCTCCATTTTAAAGGAATGTAAGACTGGCCGTCTCACCAGTGACATAACCAAAGATCATTTCCCAACTCCCATTGATTCTTCCCCTATTTATATGTCAAAGGATTACATTTGCCCTTTTGCCACAACTTCATTCTGGGAGCACACATTGGGCTGCTGATCCACTATGTGTCATACATACTTTTCAAAGTAATTGCCTTCCAAGACAGACAATGTTCTTTGGGTAAATCCAATATCGTTTATTAAACCAACTAAAATAATTGAAAAAAAAAGTTCTTCTTTGCAAGCTTTTGGGTACAAATACCCTTTATCAGGCTAAGGAAACACCTGCAGATTGTCCATGATCTTTCTGGATAGACTGGTAAAGCAACCAGAGGCCAGTATGTATGCAAGAAAGCCAGTCTGTTAAAATGTAAATTGAAGTGGTCAGTAGGTGAGAGACAGTTGGTGGGGCAGGGAGAAGTGGAATGAATGTAGCTGTAGTCAATAGAGCGGGGAAGGGGGGGAGTGAGAATAGCTGGTAAGAAGTGAAGGATTTACCTGGGGAGTCAGATGTTAGACAGGTTACAATGTGCCATAAATCTAATGTG